TATGCATTAGGATATTTGGGTAGTCACTGAGGTAGTCTCACCAGGTTATAGAGAAGCAGATAAGCACTGTACTTTTTTATTCATTGCACATTTTTATTTACATAATAATTATTAAGTAAACTGAGGAGGAAACCTGGTGCAAGCAACAAGACAACACAAGACTGTATGCATTATATTCTAGAAGACAAGGAACATTTATTTCCTACCAAATTCTGCCTGCACTCAGTCTTCCAGCCTGATCTTGTAAGCAGCTTCTTTCAAGACTAGTCCTTAGAAAAGGAAGCTCTGAAGTAGGAAGCTCTAAAATGGCTTTTTTTTCTTCTTTTTTTTTTCTTTTTTTCTTTTATTTTTGTCTATCACTTAAGAAAACAGAGATCACAGACTTCACTGCTTTCCCTTTCAGATGCAGAGCAGCCTACTTTCCTTCTTCAATATTCATGTTATTGACACAAAAGAAGGGAAAAACTCAGAATTCCTATCTAATGAGAGATACTTGTCCAAGTCCAATAAACACACCACCAGTATAAAGAGGCAGGACAGGATTCTCCCCACATTGCAGAATGCTGATGCTCTTCTGAAGACTTCTCCTTCCAGTCACTGCTCCAATTGGTTTCTATCACTTCCAGCATTGCACACAGTGCCAGCTGCTGCCGCATGGCCATTCCTGTTGAGTTTGCAGAAAATCCACAGTTTTTTTGCTGACAGCATAACCCATAAGATGCAGTGTAATGCAAGCAGTTTCTCAGGTTGTTTTGCGGTTTGGTTTCGACTTTTTTTGCTCTGTTTTTTTAGAATCTTTGAAAAGTTCTTATTCTTCTCTGCTTCTTTGCATTTTACAGAAGGTGCAGTCAACTGAATTCATTCATCTATTTCACCTCCAACATGTTCTCAACATGCGGCTATCTCATCAGCTCCACATTCCACAGCAGCCTTGCCTTTCATCTTACTCATTCTTTGGTGTGGCTGTTTGATGACTGGAGCAAGAACTACTTGTTCATGTATGGAGTCCTTAATCACCAAGCGTCTAGAGCAGAAATTCTAGTGTTTTGCCTTTAATAATACCCAGTGTCCTTGCACTGGGTATTACAGCATTTCATCTGGTTCCTACTCATCTACTAAAAGCTTATTAGTTCTTCTTGTGTAACAACCTCTTCCATTTTGCTTCTCAAATTTGTCATCCTCAAACTGTTTGATTCTTCCACGTGTGTAAAAGAGAGACTAAAATAATACAACATTTTAGGGTGAGATCATGTGTCTTCCTACCAGCTGTGGCTCCTGTGCCATAAACTCATCACAGCTATCTCCAGCACCCAGGGCTTTGCATTTTAGCATGCACATCTTCTGAAATATCAGAAGGAGTTTGTGTATCCTCTTCTCCTTCCTGATGTGAAATTCCCTGCTGTGCATAGCTAGAGCAGAGCCAGGTGAATGGCTGACTTACTCGGTCCGACAGATGATACGCCACATGCACACAGTGCCAACCCACTTTCTGTAAGGAGCTCGGTAGGAATTGGCAGACCTCGAGGTCTTTCTTCAACTAAGTTTTTCAAAATCAAGTATATTTCATAGATCTCCAGCGCTTTTTTTCTCTCTGTGTGATCATTATTCTCGGTGTTATTCTTGGTGGCAACATACCTTCAGGGAACAAATACCATGCCATATCCCGGTTCTCTGTAATACTGTTTTTTTCATCCTCCTTTACCCCTCTGCCAGTTTTTGCATAGCCAACATTCTTTAACAGAAGATGAATCAAGGAGATTCACAACTTCAGATTCTAAATATATGAAAGTCAGCAGAGGTCACTGTGAAGTGCAGAAATTCTTCTTAAATATAAACTGAATGCACAAAAGCTGGCAGTACCTTTTGGAATTAAAAATCTCCACAGCACAAATGCAATTAATGTGGTCATGAAGTAAAAGCTACATTAACATCTGAAAAATAAATATGATCTGTGTCACAGACCTAGGTGACTAATAGGAGAGAGGTTTGGGGAACTCAGACTCAGAGAAGATTGTCAGCAATAAGGAAAGATTGCTTGTTTGTTTGCTTTTGAACAAGCTTTGATTGAGATTTTTCTGATGTGAGAACCGTGACGTGGAAGCCTTCCAAGCACAGACATCACTCAGAATTCTGCAGAAATTCTGTGGATGTAGAACTTGCAGGATTACATCAGGTACGCAGCACACCTGCACATAAACAACTGCATCTGCTTCTCTAGCAGTGATTTGGAGATCTGTAGGCAGAACTGCAGGCTAAGTCATAGAAAAATCTAAAAAGAAGACACTTTTCTTTTGACTGAAGTTCTGGGCTCAGGTTCTAGCCTTCATTTCAGCTTAAATGCAAAGACAACAACATCCTTTTTGTCCTTTAGCTGTGACGCTCTTCACTACAGCATCATCAGGCATTTTTCAGGCTGCCCATTGGCAATTTCGCTCTTTACTCTTCAAATACACTTTGTAGGTATCTTCTCTGAAATTTACATTGGGCAAATATAAAAAAAAATGGATTGTAACTTAGGTTACTGGGGTTTGTTTTCTGTGGGTTTTTGTTTTTGTTTTTTTCAGCAAGAGTGCAGAATCTAAAAGAGAAAAAGCTGCAAATTACAGCTGACAGTTTCAATGCTCTTATAACTATTTTAATAAAAGATGTTGTGTATCTGTGTTTCACATAGATAACAGTCTTGTAAAAGCTTAGGTGAACTGAGAAAATAATGGCAACAGCTTTGCAAAACTTTACTTGCAATTTAAAATAATTTGGGCGATGGGGAAAATGTGTCTGACTCTGAAGACTACAAAGTGTTCCAAACTACATTAAATTCACAATTGCAGAATCTCTGCTTTTGTGCAATACAGTGGCAGTAATTTCCACTTTAATAGCTGGCAAGGGCAAATTAACATCAAGTATGGAGAAACTAGGCAAAACACCTTTTGCAGGTAAACATCCTGCAATTTTTCTCATTTGCCAGAACAAAATATGTAGTTTACAATATACACTTAGTTTGTATTCACAGGCTTAACGCATAATATTATTACCAGTATGACAACAGAGTAGTATATTTTACAGTATCGATGTTTTAACTCCGAGACTCTGGAAAAGGCAGGCAGAGGACTTTAATGACACATTAAAGGACTCAGGAAAGAAACTAGTAGCAATCTACAGCACAAAGAGTGGCACTCTTGTCCTTTGACCCAAGACTTAATCACCTGAAACAAGCTGCGTCACTTCTGTTTGTACATGACCTAGAATTACAGCACTTTTTATTTATGCCATTTAGATAGAAAGCTTGGCATAAAAAAAATCATCCTGTCACATTAAACAGGCACCAAATTCCTAAAGCCTACTGAAATGCCATCTCAAATTGACTGTTAGCAACTCACAGCTACTTTTCAAAAGTAGTATTGCTGATCATTTGTCCTCCTCTATCCTCACCTTCTAGTGACTTTATCTAGGATGTACTTGTTTAGTTACTTACAAGTATCAACAGGAAACGGAATAATATTTACTGCTTCATCTGTATCTAGTAGGCAATATGTAGAAGAAGGACATTAGTTTAGTTTGGTATCACATGTTGTTGACAGAGGCATGTCAGCAAGTTTTTATCGCCTTTCATTTAGAAACTGGTTATTTTTTTCTGAAATCCAGGAAGTTAGTTAGGCTACTTCATTAAAATTACTTGGGTACTCTTCCATCTGTTTTTCTAAGAGTTATTTATTCAGTCTTCTGCTGTCTCTTCTATCCTCCATGAGTTTACAAAGGGAAAATATGTGAAAATGTGAAATACCTGGAAACAGTTCAGAGTTTACTTAGGCTAGCTCCTGAATCACTTCAGTAGTCCCTTCAAAATATAAGTTACAACAAATTAGAATCAGTAGAGTTACAGCTGAGAAACTTAAAAAATTAAATGTAAGTTGAATATCAGCAGATAGATGAGCAGTAGCAGAATACAGACATAGACATCCTCAGATGCCAAATGTAGACCCCAAAAGATCAAGAGTCGAAATTTTGTCTTTAAAAAAGTAATTAATTATCAACTGAAAACCATCCAAATAATGCAATAATATTTGCAGAAGATATTTTATAAGTAGCTTTTGTCTTCAAGAATTATTTGCAGCTCTGTCATAAACCCTTCACAGATGATATAATACTTGGTTCTTGTTGAAGTACCTCAATCCTTTCAAGCAGTCTCTTGTTTCTGGAGAAGAAAATAGACTGCACGGGTGTTAAATAATTTCGATCCCACTTAATATGTAATAATTGTTAACCTACAGTTTCTTCAATGTAATAATTCAATACTTATCCTTCAAACTTGCTTTCCACTTGCTCTATTCAGGTTTGATACAAGTAGTTGGCTCTTTTGGGTGCCAGGATGTTATCAAGTGTAATGGCCAGCTGTCCTGAGTAAATCTGGGGTAAGATCACACCTTAGACAGTCCCCAGTTTCCAGCAGTTGGCCTACAGGCTCTGCTGGTCCTCAGTCCTCCACTATAGCCACAGCCTGCTGGACCTTCTCATTGCTTATGAAGTGGGATGCTCTGGGCAGACCTCAGGTCCTCTGTGTCAATACAGCTGTGGAGAACAATAAACAGCTTCTTTTCATCAGACCCCCCCTTCATACTCACCATCTCAACTAAGCTTAGGAGCAGCCGATAGCATGGTAAGACGCCTCAATAAATACACAGGTTGTTTCAAAAGTAATACCTCCTATTTATTTCCATGGAAACAACAAGAGATACAAAGAGCACAATAATGCTATTTGATAGATCAAATTCTCAGCTACAAAACACTATTTTTCAACATAGTCACCATCAGCAACAGATTCATGTGGAAAAGCTGATCGGGATGGTCTTCATTTCATGGGTTGGCATCTGTGCGGGCAGCTGGGAACATGGCTTGTCTTTCACATTACTGTTACTACTGCTGAAATGCATCACCCACCACCTCACTGTGCTCATATCTACTGTTTGGTCTCCATAAATGTTCAGCAAGTGCCAATGAATGTCAATGGATACAATTTTTTCTGCCTTCAGGAATTTAATTTCACACCTTTGCTTCATATGCACTTCCATGTAAGATGTCGTTCTGTCAGAATGCCCCTCTGCTGCCATCTGTCACACAGCAACAAAATATAATGGAATACTGGTGGAAGGTTCAACCTCTGCTGCCATACCACCAACATCTGCTTCTGACATCACAGATTAACATAATAAAATAGGAGGCATTACTTTTGGGGCAGCCCTTGTACTTTCAACCACCACAGGCAAGCAGCCTTTTTCATACCAGGCCAGTCTGCCTTTGTGTTACAGCTGATTTGCTATGAATCCTGACTAACGTTCTATGGGTACACCTTTTGTGTTACACAGAGGCACGGACAGGGCTCACAGACCAGAACCAGCATCATACAGGCGCCCTGGCTGTGCTCCAACTAAATTTCTCCATTCCAGATCAGACAGACAGAAGCTATACCCAAGCCACATAAACATGAGACCATAAACACTGTGAATGCTATGTGAATATGAGATCACCCCAAGCATTATGAACATGAGCCAATGTGTGTATCTCGGCATCCTGCTGCCAGTACAATTTCCTCCTTGCACACAAGCAATTCAGATGCTGTTTCAGGCAGGATCTGGTAGCAGAGTAGAAGTCCATGCTGAGTGCACTCAGGTGTTCTCCTGACAATGGCTAACTCCTGTCTGAATGGAGCCAGGTGGGGGCCATTCTCCAAATAGCAGCTTCATGCACAGTTTCTGCAGGATTTTTATTACTATTATGCCTTTGTGAGTGGCTGTGCAGACCCTTTTGATGTAGTGGCAGATTAAGGACCCCTTTGCTAGCAAATATACAAAGACTGCTCATGATATTTATACAAATAGTGTAGATGCTTTTCTACTCCATAATAGCCAAAGGCAGATACCACTGGAAACAGAACAATGCTGCCAATTACAGTGAACTTTGGATTAGGACTTCCACATTTTTATGAAAGGATCCTTTTATAGTGAAGGTCTGTGTCTAACACACACGTATCAGTGCTCCTAGCTTAGATCAGATTCTATACTTTTAGCTACTACACTACCAAAGACAAGTATTTGGAAAATAGTCCTTCTTTCCTTTATACAAAAACATTTGCAATCAAACATCATAAATGGTATTCTGAGCAAGGGAAGTAAACACTACTTGAAATAATGGCAATGCGTTACAGAAAACAGTAATTTAAAATTTTATAATTCCTTTCTTTTTCAAAGAAATAATTATATACACTTCACCATCTTCAGCAGTATTAAAGATGTTATAATTTAAGATAACTTTAATTAGTAAATCACAGTGGTAGTACAAAGTGTTGCTAAGATTAGCCTCAGGCAGTGGTCTGGGAAAAACAAGAAGGTAAATGATGCTTCTTTAACATTTTTGGAAAACATGTATTTTTAAAATATTTTATAGGTTAAAATACTGATAATTCTCTATTTGTTTCTTTAGAAATGCTGTGAAGTAATGTCTTTGCCATTCTTTTGAACTACATAACAATAATTAGTTAAAATTATATCAGTCAAATTGCACTTAAAAATACAACACTGAGTCCCTAATAAATCTTTCTGGTTTTTGAAGTAACCCAGATAAAATTAACTTTGCTAATCTTGACTTGTTTTATTGTACCCTCTTCCTCTGTTCTTATGTACAGAATTTATACAACAGAAGATGTTAGGCAACCTTAACTGTAGTTATTGCTACAACTCTTCCCATAAAACTTAAGGTGAAATACAGGTATAATTAAACTGAGGGGAGTGCTCACACTGATTTCAGAGAATGAAAGAGAAAATAAGTGTTTCCTGAAATACAGTAATGTCTCCACAATAAAAATTTGTATTTACATGGAAAGCACTGGTAATAATATTTCAGGAAATCCAATAATTAAAGTATTATATGCAAAAAGCATATATAAATGTCTCTAAAAATGTGGCTATGAATATAAAAATACATGTAAAAAGTCTGTATTTGATTATTGCAATTAGATGTGGCTTTATCTTTTTTAATCCATGCTAGGAATGCTATCAAAATCGTTTGAAAGGAAAGAAAAATGAAGTACAATTAACTCATCTGGAACCACAAGAAAAACACTAACCACTAAGTACACTTAGAGTGTTTTCAAGGGACTGTGAGACTTCTATTACTGTTGCAACAGTACCATGGGATCTTATCACTGACAGATGTAAGAGCAGCCGAACCACAGATCTCACCTAATAGTGAGCAAGTCTCTACTCTTCAGTGACTCATGTATACGATCTGTTTTATGCAGCAGCTATAGTCTTGCTTCAGAAAGCAAAACTATAAAATGTGCAAAGTTAGGCACATACCTTTTCACCAGCCTAAGCTAGAGTCACAGTACTTGCACCAAGATATGCACACTGCTTTACAGAGAGTATTATTTTTGACCTGCTCTGGTTTTCTTCACATAAAAGCCTTATTTCAGCGGTCTACATACCATTTCTTTCATGAATCAAATCTTTATCATGAAAAGGTAACTACCAACTTAGAAACTGTATTTTAACATCTTTCCAGTTTTGTCTCTAATGTCTTCACATGTCAGAATGCTTTTTTTTAACATTTAAGAAATCACAGAATCAGAGAATCGCAGGTGTTTGAAGGGACCTCAAGAGATCATCAAGTCCAACCCCCGGCTAAAGCAACTTCCCTGCAGTAGGTCACACAGGTAGGTGTCCAGATGGGTCTTGAATGTCTCCATAGAAGGAAACTGCACAACTAAGGCAGCCTTTTCCAGTGCTCCGTCATCCTTACTGTAAAGAAGTTCTAAATGTTAGTTCGGATCTTCCTATGTACAAGTTTTAGGCCCTGACTCCTTGTCCTATCCCTACATACCACCAAGAAGAGTCTGAACTTACACATTTGCCTCTCACCCCCCTTTAGATATTTATAAACATTTATCAGATCCCCCTTCAGTCTTCTTTTTCCCAGGTTAAACAGACCCGAGTTACTCAGCCTTTCCTCATATGAGGGATGCTCCAGGCCCTTTATCATCTTTGCGGCCTTCTGCTGGCCTTCTGCGGCTCCTTCTAGGAGATACCTGTTTTTATAACTGGGGAGCCCAGAACTGGACACAATAGTCTGAACGTGGCCTCACCAGGGCAGAGTAGAGGGGGAGGATCATCTCCCTCAACTTGCTGGCCACACTCTTTTTCAACTTGTTTTTCTTCTGATTTCCAATTAGACTTAAAAAGTAGTTCTGAAGTCTGAGGGAGCTCATTACATATGGCAGCATTATGAGAGGTATTTGGGGACATATCAAATTAATGCATCTTCAGAATTTCACATAAATTTTAATACTTTTCATTTCAAATGGATTCTATCATGATGAGCTTTTGAGTATCTTAAGTGAGTTGAAAATATTTGCAGACACACAATAGTTACATCCTAGCTCCTAAATGCAATGATTGCTGTAAACTCTTTTTTATGAACTGAATGGTATTATCTAACCACAAAATTGCATTTATTCTCATCTTTACTGGTGCATGAATGTTGACTGTCACTGTCACCATGTCACTGTCACATGACACTGACTGGTAGTGAGGTTAATTTCAATCATCTCCAAATCCTCCATCATCTCAAAAACCTTCATCATCCAAATATAAAATAACTGGACTTTCTGTTAACAAACAGCACAATGTCATCCTTGGGTTTCTTCACCACAGGAGGATATTTCAGCTTGCTTGAAACTGATATCAACTTATTCTTTATTTGCTTTGGAAGGGGAGTGGTTAGGCATGATGGAGTAATAGTCTCTCTAGTGTACAAAGTGCCATTGGAAATCCCTTAAATCTCCTCCCAGCCTTCAGAATAAACAACTTTGGTATAGAACCTTAGAGACTCTGGGTAGAGATGAAGATATCAGCTGGCAACTTTTATTAAGATGGTCTAGTTTTATCAAAACACCTTCCAGTTTTCAAGGTGCAAGCAATTGTGTCAATTGTGTCAATTGTGCAAGCAATTTTATTGCTTTTAACAAAATGTGTCTTCATTGTCATTATCCCTATCTGATTTTGAGTGTTTTCCTTGTTCCAATTGCTCTCACTTCTGTTAAAATGAAATAGAAGTGATATTCTTAAGTGGATTGATGGTATTTTGAAGGCCTGGGATTGTGAAACCTTTTGTTTCAAGGCTTCTGTCTGACTTTGGGTAGAATTTAATTCATGCTCCAGTTCTTCACTCACAAAATAAAGCTGTGATATTTCCCATCTTTCAGTCTTGCCTGTTCAATTCCTCCAGGAAAGAAGTATCCCAAATATCATTAGCACAGTGCCTATCCTACTAAAATCTTACTTTTGTTTGGCACTTGCTGTCAAATAGCACAAACAGAAAATAAATCAGATATCCCCATGCCTTTTCTCCCCCACTACAAATGGGGGCTTCTCAGCCCTCCCTCCATTCACAAGTGGCTGGTCATCACTCCTCCCCGAGCCCTTCTACTCACCATTTTAAGTCTCCAAAGACAGACTGGCAAGATGGGTGGCCCTCAGACTGGATGACTGAATCCATCTCTCAACTCTTATTCTATCTAAAATAGTAAGAAAGGGCTTGAATTAACAGGAGTTAATTTAAGCCGTTACAAGAGTAAATGAATGCTGGCGTTAAGCCTAATGCTCTTGAGGGGATTGGAGTTCTAACAGAGATTGAATCCATGCTGGAACCTGGCCTAACACTCTTAAAAGACACTGAGACGTGGAGGTGGATGTTCAGGGATGCAAAGCTGCAGGTTTACTTCCTATTTTAACACTTCACTTTGTTATAAAATCATGGAAGAAAAGGAAGTTTATGTCAGAAATGATTTCCTAAGTATCAGAGGAGTCCCAGAGGCTTTGTTTCATGGTAGTATGTGTTCATTTTTTGATGTGATTACACATTATGCTCATTATGCCTAATAAGCAATAACTGCTTTTTACTATTGCTCTATTACAATTCAGTGGAGCATTGAATCTTACAGGAAAATTACATCCTTAAGCATCTAAGAAAATCTTTAATTAGGCTTTTCATTTGCTTTTGAAATTTTCATCAGTGCAAATATCTCTAGAAGAAAGTCTGAAGCCAACATGTAAATAGCACTTGTTAAAAAAAAATGGGTAAAGCTTGCTAAACATCATGATTGCTGCTTGCAAAGGTCAAGGAAGAGAAAACTGTGCAGGGTGGGAAAGACAGTCTCTGAAATAAATTTTAAGTGTTGCAGATCATAGTAGTTGATGACATTTGTCACCTCTGTTACGTTTACCAGATTGTCAGTGTCATTTTTGTGGATCTTCGCTTTCTGACACAAACCATCCTGTACTGATACTGCACCAGGTGAAATAGGACTACCTCTTCATAGCCTTTCTGGCTAGTTAGGCATACATTTTAGCACCCAGAATATAGGAGCCTGGTTAGTGCAACATGAGTGTGGGCCTTGTGAGCAAAGCAGTAGCTGAGCACTCCTCTGAGACGCTACGCACAGGGTGGCTAAGGACATCTCAGCTCCCCACCAGCATTGCGTGCTTACAGCCATAGGGGAGTAGCTCTCCTTTCACTCTGCAGCTGTGTCTGTTCCAGTCAAGAATGTCATCCAAGGAAAGGCAATGACCTACTTAGTGGTTCTTACTCAAAGAAAAACTGAAGATGCTTGGCAGGGTGCTGAATTCACCCTGTTTACCTATGCTGCAGTCATATGTTCAACATAATGGGATCTGGCATTCTGAATTCAAATCCCTCAGCTATCCTTTACAATGCTTCTGGGATGTTGCCAGCATCCATGAGGTGCATATTATTGCTTGACACAGAAAGGGAAGTACTCATAATGTGTTTGTGCAAATACTCTGTCAAGTAATAAGGCTGGGACAGAAAATATTTTGTCTATCTGGAGGGAAGTAAAAACAGGGAACAGGAATTTGCTGTAAGTTTTACTGCTCTGCAGCAGAAGTGGGATTTTTCAGTATGTGTTTTATGCACGACAGAGGGATTTTGCTGCTGTTTCACTGTATCTGGGGATTATAGAGGATTTTCTTGTATGAGTTACTTTCTGTGTCTCTGGGGATAAAAAAAAGATTTTGCAATGTATGTTACGGTCCACGGAAATGGAAACCATTCACCCTGCGTGTTGCACTCTTGGGTGATTTTGCAATGAGCAGTCATTTATATTCCCCAGAGAAGGTGTTTTTGAAGAGTTTGTGTGCTGCTAAGGATTCAGGTGGCACATTCCTGAAGATGTCCCAGACACGTTGCTGAATGACATTCAATGGACAACTCATACTAATGGAAGTCTGGATAAATTCTGAGATGCCACTATTTAGATGTCTGAAATTACCACGTACAAAACTGAATTCATGTCTCTGAGTTCAGATTGGTGAAGGACAGCAAACTGAAAGTCCTTTACTCGCACAGAATAATCACCATTTGCCAGTAGATAGAAGGCAAAGAGGCATTTCCATGTTTTCATGTCTGTAATGCTGGCAATATACTTGCTGTCATATCAGAAAGAGGTGAATGGCACAGCTTACTACAACAGACAGAATGTTTTGTTTTGTTTTGTTTTTTACCAAAGTAATGGAAAACTGCCAAATGCCTTAAATTTACAATGACCCAGAGCAGTTCTCTCTCCAGCTTTTTCCACTCTCACATTTGCCAGGTAAATAGTCCAAAAACTTGAATCATAGCATTACAAACCTACAAATGATGTCTGGTTTCCCATGTGACCGTATCAACAGTTCCCAGATGGTCCAATCATGGAATATGAATCAAAGAACCACAGAACCTTTAAAGTTGGAAAAGACCACTAAGATCATCTAGTCCAGCCATCAATCCATTACCACCATGACCACTAACCATGTCCTTAAGAGCCACATTTCCAGAATCTCCACAAACGGTGACTCCACCACCTCACCCAGCAGCCTGTCCCAATGCTTCACCACTCATTCTGAAAATAAATTTTTGATTGATAAAAATTTATCAATATAAATATGGCAACCATTTGTATTGAAAAATGTGCTTTGCTACTAGGAAAAAGGGATTAAAGCAGTATTTAGGACTAAGTAGAAAAGGACAGGCTTCTGCTGAAAAAAAAAAAAAAAAAAAGTAATACAAAATGTATAGAATCACTAAGGTTGGAAAAGATTTTCCAGAACATCTAGTCCAGCCCTCCATCTACCACCAATGTTTCCCCAGCAACTACATCCCTCAGAGCTACATCTCCACATTTCTTGAACGCCTGCAAGGGATGGTGACTCCACCACCTCCCTGGAAAGCCCATTCCAGCACCTGACAATTCAGAAAAGAAATTTTTCCTAACATCCAACCCGAACCTCCCCTCAACTTGAGGCTGACCCCCAGCTCGCCGCGCCCTCCTTTCAGGCAGTTGCAGAAAGTGAATAGGTCACCTCTGGCTCTCCTCTTCTCCTGACTGAACAATCGCAGTTCCCTCAGCCGCTCCTCATAAGCCTGACAGCTCACTAATAGCAAATACCAGGCTCAATCCAGCCAAGGCTCAGAGCATTTCAGTAGAACAGAAGTGGCAGTGGACCAAAGCACGTGTTGAAAAACCCAGGGTGAGGAGTTGTCTCTGACACAAGCGATGGCACGGGTCGGCTCCACCTGTCACAGTCTTCAGCAGCCACATCTGCCATGACACTCTGTATGAGCAGCATCTCCTGTCATCTGTATCTCATGAGAAACTCTACTCCACGAGGATGTTTTAGACCCACTCACGTTCCAGCTGCTATTCGCCTGGCACACGCGCAGTGCGAAGTATGCCTACACGACATGCCCAACACTCAGAAAACCCCACAGCACCAAGTCAGTGCCGCAGCACTGACACAGCCCTGACTTAACCGGCTCTGCCCGCTGAGCTTCCCGCAATGTGACAGAATCGTGGAATCGCCGAGGTTGGAAAAGACCTCCAAGACCATTAAGTCACCCACAGCCCAACTCCTGCCTCCACTGCCGGGAAACCGCCGAGCGGGCAAGTCCCAGCTCCCGCTTCCAGCGAACCGCCTCCGATGTCCCGCGCACCTCCCGCTCCGTTACCATTCCGCCCGCGCCGCGGGCAGCTCCCGTCCCGCCGGGCGCACCGGGGCCGCACATCCCCGCTCGTCCCGCCGCCCCGGCCCGGCCGCCGCGCATGCGCCCCATGCCGGCGGTTTCCGGGAAGATGGCGGCGTGGAGGGCTGCGCTGGCGGTGGGCGCCCGAGCTCCGCTGCGGGGACGGCTGCTAGGGCCGCGGCCCGCCCGGAGTCAGCGGCGCCCGCCCGGCTGGAGGATGGCCGCCGCCGCCCTGCTCGGGGGAGGCTCGGTGGCGGCGTGCTACGGCGGCTGGGGACGGCCGGGGGCGGGCGCGTTCCCCACCGTTCTGGCTCAGGTGAGCGGCCGCTCCAGGAGCCGGCGGGGTGCCGGGCCTCACGCAGCGCGGGACGGCGGCGGGGCTCGGGGGGGGCCGTGCTGCGCGCGGGGGGCGGGGCGGGGCGGCGGCCTGGGGGCTGCGGCCGTTGGGCCGGGCGGGGGATGCGGGCACCGGGCGGCGGGACGGGGCGGCGGTAATTCGCTCGAGCTGATCCCGGCCCCTCTTCGCTAATGAGCACTTGGCCCTTTTCTGCGGTGGATTTTCGTCTGAGCGCCGCTCGCGTGCCTGGCCGCCCCGGCGGCAGCGAGCTGGGTGTGAGTTCTCGTAATCTGTGCGAGGTGTGGGCTGCGCTGCGCTGTCCTGTGTGCTGGAAGCGGCTCCTTTCGCCCTGCCTGGCCTCGCTTCGGGCGCTGTGAGATGGTGGGATATCCCTCTTCCCCTTAGCAAAGAGTAATTCCATCTTCATCTCCATCCAAACAGGAGGGGAATCAACTCTTTGAAAGGGCTGATAACTGCAGGACGAGGGGAAACGGTTTTAAGTTGAGGGAGGGGAGATTTATGTTGGACGTCAGGGGGAAGTTCTTTACAGAGAGTGGTGAGGTGCTGGAACAGGCTGCCCAGAGAGGCTGTGGATGCCCCATCCCTGGAGGTGTTCAAGGCCAGATTGGATGGGGCCCTGGGCAGAGCCTGGTCTAGCATTAGGTGGGAAGGTTGGTGGCTCTGCATGTGGCAGGGGGGTTGGAGCTTCATGATCCTTGAGGTCCCTTCCAACCCTGGCAATTCTGTGATTCTGTGATCTGAAATTCATGATGTGCAGCAGGTAGGATGGCACCTGGATGGTTTGCTGAATACCTGGCGGTGAAGGTTGGGATGGACCTTGCCTTGGAGTATCAGTACCATTCAGGTTGGGTTCCTGAACTGCTTTCTGGATGCAGCTCCCCATGAGAAGGGCATCTGCTGTTCCCCTATAAACCTTATTGGAAATGCATCTCCATACTGTATAGAACCAGAAGTATATTTAGCTCAGTGACAGAGCAACTTTATATTATGTTTAAAAAATCCTATTGTAGAGGCCTCTTTCATATATACATATATATATATATATACATATATATATATATACACACACACATATATATATGGGACTTTTGCTTAAGCAGATCTGTAGGTAGGTACATACAAAATGTGTTAATGCAGTGCATACCCATAGGCTCACAGCATGGCTAGGATTGGAAGGGACCCTGCAGTCCATCTAGTTCCAACCCCATGCCATGGGTAGGGCTGCCACCCACCATGTCAGGCTGCCCCATCCAACCTGGCCTTGAACATCTCCAGAGATGAAGACTGTTGAGTTGAAATGGTAAAGCTTTGGTGCTCTTGTGTTCTTGGTCTGACTTCCACATAATGCAGTGACAGACTTAGAAGTACACTTTCTAATGTTCTGAGGGAACTCTGAAGATCTGCAGCTTCTTGGATTGATTCATTTTTGGAGGCAGAAAATTGCTGTGCTCTGCAAATTTTAAGCAGTTTATTCAATTTGAACTTTCTAGTTTTCTGATTAAAAGACTGTTGGATGTCCCATTGTAGCAGCAGACATATGTCTTGTGTTCTGTGTTGCTGCAATTAATGCAGTGACCTATTTAAAAGTACTTAGTGTCACACTGTACGTGATCAGTTCCTAAGGGCAGTGAGCTAAAGACAGAACAGGCTTGTGAAAGTGGTGAGGACAGTGTGACAGAACCAAAGCAGCGTGCTGCATTTGTTTGAAGCAGTTCAGATGCTGCTGGTGGCTTCTGGTTATTCATTTAGTTTGTTTAGCTGAAATTTGTAGGTGTTTATATTTGCCATTAGTGTCCAGCTAGTCTCCATCAAACTAGTTAGGACATTTTCAGCTTTATAAGTGATTTGTGAAGTTATTTTCGTTCTCTGTTTGCTGACCGATTGTTTAAAAAGGCGTAAGGTGTCTGTTGGCATATGTCCTTACTTATGATGGGAACTCTCTACTGTACAAAAACATTATAGCAAGAGCAATGTAATCTTATTTTTTTCTTTTCCCCTCAATCTGTGTAGATAACGGTCTAAGTTTATCTACATTTCCTGTTTATCAGTGAAGCTGATAGAGCCTGTGCTGGGGAAATCTGGATCTGTTTTTCTAGCTGAAAGGAGCTATCAGCTTTTATAAGGGATCAGGTGGCAGTGATGAGAGCTTTCGTTCTGCCAGTGTGACTTAAAATGCTGATTTTACCTTAGGTGGGTCAAAAGTATTCATGTTGCACTGAGCACTGCAGTGATGATTCCTAAGTCATTGACAGAATGATGTGTGATTGAGAACCTTGATCAGACATGCAGTATTGTGTTATCATTTGCCACTTCAGTATCACAAATTTTATGGCCTGCAGCTGTTGGAATCCTTGGGTTAAAACAGGCTGCTATCACCAGTCAGTTTTGCAGTCTCTACTACCTGAGTAGTCTTTATCACGGTCAAGCATCAAGTACACAGTGCAGAGTGTGCAAGAGAATTTGGGATGGCTCACATCAGGAAACTGCTGTCTGTGTTGGGAACTTGCCAAGGGACTGTAGCTTCGCTCTCATGCTCATACATGCTACAAATGGCAAGGCAGCTCTGAGCAGCACCAAACTGCTGGAGGCAGCATCTCCTGCCCCTGCTGAGAGTTTTATGGACGTGATTAATTTCTGGTTTGGGAAAGAATAATGGAATTTGATTCACCCTGAAGTAATTGCCATTTCTGTAGCATTCTGTGCTACAGTCTGTCACTGTTTCCAAATGAGAGTAAAGGTGTTACCAGTACTTGTTTGAAATTCTAAGGTGTGCAAAGTCCTGTCTGTTTGGTGCCTGTAGAAGTGATAGTGTTACAGCATCCTTTTCCTAGGACTCAAGGAGCATCAACTGGTGGTTAAATATTTGGTACTCCTTTCCTGAGCTGAAGTGGAAAGCACAACTTGACCTCCAAAGATCATTTCCAGGCTCAAGCATTCTGTGAACTTAACCAACGACATTCTTTTCTCTGTTTTTGTTACTGGTTTCTGTTAGGTGATTGTAGCCATTGTTTCTCTTCCTTCTTTTGGTGGAGCTGTATCAGCAATATGCTATGGTTCTTCCAGATGAGAAGAGACTCAATTCCCATCCTAGTGGTCTTAAATAACGCATTAATTGTGTTTGATCATACTGAAAATGTTAAGAGAATTCTATTCTCTGAACAGTGGAATATAAACTACTTGTGCCTTTTTTAGTGGCTGACATTTATGAAATTCTCATTTTATTTAAAACGTGTTTATTGAACCAGAAAATAGATTTTATATTTGAAGGAGGGGAGGGAGAAAGGTCCACTAATCTTTTTTTGAACTGTATTAAGCTGTATGGAGTGTTTCACCCTTCTATAGTTTTCTCATGTTAGTAATTGCTGGGAGAAGACATGCATGGCAATGGTAATTCAGTGTTCTAGAAGAAATCTTATTCTGAACAATTGTAAAATATTTCTGTTGATCAAAACTTCACCTTCAATTCATTCTTGGGCTGTCTGTGTAACCACTTTTGGTACTTTTGCCTGACACTGTTTTAAAAATGTAGAATAACATAAAGGATTCTCTGAACAGCAGTTTTGTTCTGGGATGATGCTCTTGGTTCTGACACTGCAGTAAGATGGCTGCCCAGAGAGGCTGTGGATGCCCCATACCTGGAGGTGTTCAAGGCCAGATTGGATGGGGCCCTGGGCAGCCTGGTCTAGCATTAAATGAGGAGGTTGGTGGCCCTGCATGTGGCAGGGGGGTTGGAGCTTCATGGTCCTTGAGGTCCCTTCCAACCCTGACCATTCTGTGATTCTGTGATATTTCTACTTTTTAAAATAATTTGTATCTAGGAAGGTACAATGTGCATAAAAGCTGCAAGGAGACGGTTGTCAGTATTGGCAGATAGGATGTGTATGTACACCATTTGACTTTAGTCACCAAATAGAAAAAAAAAAAAAAAAGAAGAAAAATAGCATATTTCTTTGTAGGAGCCACTGTTTGGTTGAAATTCACATGTCGGTGCTTTAAACTGAGAGGCTTACTGGCACATCTTGCTGGAATGGGAGTTTTAGTGGGGGTTTCTTTGCAATCTGCTTTAAAAGACTGGTTCATGCAAAGGAAGAACGATGTTGTTAAGATGAGATATCTTGATAAATATAGAACTCTGGATACAGTTGCATAAGGATTTGTAGTGATGTATGGAATTGCCAGGAGGAATCCGGTTCTAAAATAAAACCAGAGTGAATATGTACAGCCTAATCTGAGAAATAGACAAGAAGGCTCTTGTGTTTTGACATAAAATAAAAAAAACAAATAGCTTGCCTTTCTTTGACCAAGAATCCTAGCATAGTTTTTGTGTCCTGAGAACTAATTTAAGTGTTTGTTTTTGAATCTTTATTCTATTAGAAATTAAGAATTCAAGTGCAATAGCACATATGACAGCTGACTGGCATGCACACAAAATAAAACTAAGCATGTATTAAATAAAAGTATGCAGCATAATACCTTGATAGAATATTCATGCAAAGGTTTTTGATCCACATCAAATATATTTCTCTCTGATATTATGCAGACCTCAGTGAAGCCTTCTGCTTCAATTCAGCTGGTGGAAGCCTGGCCACACAATCAGATTGTCAGTGCTTAATAACATCTATAATGAAATAAGACTATGTTAAAAATGATGGAAATTACCATTACTCTAGTGACTTGGAGCCTCTTTAAGATCACAATTACAATCCAGCCCTAAGGTTCTCACTGAAGCATCAGCAAAGTTGGCAGCCTTCAGGTGGGTTCCAGGTTTGCTACCAGTGCTTCTAAAGCACCTGTGTTTCTTTACAGCAGGGCCCAGGGCTGGGATGGACTTTTGTGGATGTACAGTCAGTGTTCTTGTCAGCATGGGTAGCATCGCTCTACCAGCTTCATGTTGTACTTGCTGCTGTATCTTTACTTCTATATTTACTATCCTGATAAATTTTACATGGCATATCATC